TGTTTATGTGATTTTGATATTATGATTAGATTATTAATTGGGTGGGTTTTAGTTAGTAATGAATGGTAGTGGATTGATTTATAAATTATATTAATAAATCAAAATTATAACCAATCGTTGAACTCCAATTATTTTTAAAAATATTTAAAGAGTTTAATTTTAAAACAATTAAAAAGTGGTTAATTTTGAACCCAAATATGGATGACAAGGGTATTTTGGAGTCAATAGGTGGATGAAAAAGACATTTTGGAGCCAATAGATGGATGAAAGATAATTTCATACAATTTTCAATACTTCAAAAGTATTTTAGGTCCTTTTCCAAATTTTAATGCTTCATCACTAAGTATATATTTCAATTCCATATGAAAGAGATCAAACATGCTTAAAAATTCATTGTAGATTTCTTAGTGTTTTTTTTTTATAAAAATGAGTTGATTTTTTAAATTGTCACTTGATTAATAATAATTGTTATTTCGTAAGGTTGTATTTTTAATGAAAGAGAATGAAATTCAGAAGAAAAATAATTTTATGAAATAATAACTATTAATTGAATGATCATGTAATAATCAATTCGTGAAAATGAATAGTTTTTGGAAAATAAACCCTATATATAACTACCTCTTAAATTTATTTATTTTCAAAAAACTTTTTGCTTATATTTCTTGAGAAATTTAAGCAAACACCTCTAAACTTTTAAATGATGTTATTGGAGAATCTTTTTTTTTTTACCAAGCAACATATCTAGATTCGAACCTAAGACAAAATGCCACGTAATTTAATCTCTTTATCATTAAATTAAATTTTTTGGTCTTAAATATTGAAAATAGTGTTTTACTTCTTAATAAGCCAACTCATGATAGAATTCAGATTAATTGCACTTTTTCGAATATCATATTTATAAAAAAGATACTTGTAGAGGTAAAGCTAGATGAAGATTTCTGGGTTTACATGAATTTAATAGTTTTACGGTAGTTTTTATATTTGTATTAAAAAATTAAATAAATATATATGTATGTTAACTCGTAAACCTAATAAAATTGATGGACTATTTAATAGTAAAGAAGAGACAATAAAAATATTTTTCACTTAAGTTAAAGCTCCGAACCCCCCTCTCTTTTTTAAAAGAAAATTCAGAACTCCCAAAAAATTTTATCTTGACTCCGCCTCAAACTGGATCATGGAAGGGTTAGAAAACGAATTGGTTACAAAATGAGTAATTAGGGTTGTGTATCGGCCGGTTTGGTTCGACTTTAAAGTCTATCGGGTTGGCTTATTGGTTATCGGTTTGTAGAGATGCTAAACCGTTATAGAACTATTAAGATATTGAGTTATCGATTATTGGTTTATCGATTTTTGATCGTTATCGGTTTGATTATCGGTTTAACCGTTAAGATTTGACACAAAAGAAAAAATATTGAAAATCACTTATAAACAAGGAGACAAACTAAATAAACCATGCACTTGAGCTCACAAGTTACATCTTGCTCAAAAGCAAACACTTTTACATCGTAGAATAATCACGTGTTTGAGACAACCAAAAATAAAAGTAGAAAATTAAACTCTAAGTCAAGGACTTCATATACAAAATGGTATAAATATAATCATTTAATTTACTATCAGATTATCTGTTAACCCGTTAAAAAAAACTTTAAATCGTTAAAAATCGATAACCCAATAACAAAAAAGAATCAAAACCGTTATCAAAACTACTAAACCAATAACCCATATTATAAATTAATAATATTTTTATTAATTCGAATTATCGATTTCGGTTCGATTTTGAACATTAGTAATATATCATTCCAATTACCTACCATATTTGATATGATTGGGATATGAGATTTTTTCCTTCAATTAATCTTTTTTCTTTCTTTTTCCCCTTAGTTAATTTCTTCCAATTAATAATGGTTCTCAACTTATGTTTTTATTTAACTTTTAAATACTTTTGCGTTGATATTCTTCACAGAAAATAATTGTTCTCAGAATCTGTGAAAAAATATAGTTTTAGATAAATCAAAGTCTCATATTAGTACCTTTTTAAAACTAGACTTGATAATTAGGAGAATGAAATAATTAAGTAAATTTACTCATGACTTCTTAAAGAAAGAGTTGCGTTTAGAAGATATCCTGAAATTAAAAAAAAAAAGTTATAAACTTTAGAATTGACATGTTTTCTACCATTAAATAAGAAAATCAACAGATCGAGTCAAATTTTATAAATAATTAAGCTAATAAATAAATTTGATCTAATATATTTGAAGTTTGCTTGAATTTAAATAAATTAAGTTAAACAAATTGAAAACAATTCATAACCCAATCCAATCAAATTGACTTATTACATTTTCTATAGTTTTCAACCAAAATTATAACCTAATCCCTCACTTTACATGCATTTAATTTTCACCGACGAAAATGACACATTCAATAAGATCAAATCACTACATAGCAAATCATCTTCTTTTTTTACGATAAAGGAAACTCTCATCGATATTCTTTTTGGATTGCACGGGGTAAAATTCCGCGAAATAGCTTGCAAATCACGTAGAAAAGGTAACCCGCATTAGGCAAGCCTGGTGCGACGAGCTCGACCTAAAAGGCAAACCCTTTGCTAGCGCTAGCAAGGGGTTTTGAACTTGAGACCTCCAACATGGAAGTCCCAAGCTCAAACCACTGGTACATAACAAATCATCTTTTAACGGCAATTAATTAACGATAATAGCTTAATTATCACTAAATTATATTTTAGCGGCAATTGTCACTCTTTGTATATATATTTAAAGTCTTTAGCGATACTTGATCTAATGACACTTTATTAATATTATCGATAAAGACTTTAACACTCTTTATTAATGTGTCTATTTATTACCGGTAAAAGTTATTCTTTTAGCGGTAAATGTTGTGTGTTTGGTTTCTAATTTCGATTACACTATGAAAAAAAACAATCTAAAAGTGAGAAATTCATAACGTAATTGATATCCCAATTTTTAAAATTTCAAAGTCAATAATAGATTATTTAAATTTTATATAAACATTGTTTAATGATTAGATCAACTAGAACCATAATAGATTAAGAAGTGTCTCATTCCTATTGTATTTATGTTGCGTCTATCTGTTTGTGTATATATATATATATTTTTCTTATGAATAAAGGAAAATATTATATGGTTGAGATGGCAGACGAAAGGATTTTTTTATAAGAATTTGTCTGTAGTTAAATTATCCAAAAGTAAAACGTGATATTGATGTAACAAATTGCACCAATATTCAAAATAGTTTTATGACTACTTTTATCAAACAATCTGAACAAATAATAGTTCTCTTTTTAGTTCAGTTCTTGCAATTCTTAATTTTAAAAGGAAAATTCAAGCGTCATGGATGACGTTTTATATATGTGAAGTGCAGGTTGAGAGAATATTATGTAATCCATTTAATTTATGATACTATAATTGATCTTTCGCTCTTTTTCGAGATAAAAATCATGGTGTTCGAATCAGTTTTTATGTATTTTAATTAATTTCACGAGATATTTGTCATCTCCAACCAATAACAAATCACTCTGTCTATCAAAACTAAGAATATATGAAAAGAATATTCACTTAGGGTTTTTTGTTATAATTAGTTTCTATATTGACAATTATTCTATTTTTTTTATAACTCAAATTAAAATTGCATGTATTTCGTGTTTAATTTGGTCATGTGGCACCTAATAAACTATACATTTTTGTACGATTTGTTTTAATGAAATTTAAGAATTTAAGTTAGAGTTAGATGCCACTTTTTTCTAGCATAGGTCAGCATCTATAGCAATGCTTAAAAAAAAAACGAGAGAAAAAACCTACAAAATATTGTGGTTTTGTGTTGTGTATTTTATTCAAATACTTGCTGAAGTATGCCCATTGTTTTATCAACGAAAGTAGAGCGGTTAAAAAGGATTTACACAACTCAATTCAATTCAATCCTAACGAGCTAGAGAGTTAAATGGTATGAATGAACTGATCTTTTTAATTAAAGGATCAATAATATAGCAACCCAACAAATCCAATTCTAAGCGGCCGCGAATTTAACCCTTAAAAAAAAATGAACAATATTATTTTCATAGAAAAAATATTAAACGCTTACATCTATAAACACGATATCAATAATACATAAATATCAAATAACTCCATCACAAGCACTGCAATATATATAATTAATGTTTTGTCATTCTACAAATTAAAAGTAATTTAGGTATCTTTAAATAGTAGTACAATTAACGTATCACAATAAGTGTTCTAAGGATATCTAGAAGAATGAGTCAAGGAAACGGAAAAAAGTTTGTAAAGAAGCTCACATCAACTAATATGGCCACTTGTGCAATCTTCATCTCTTACTTTTAAGAGGAAAAGTATAATTTTTGGCCAGATGGAGAGATTTTTATTACAATTAATTCGCCGTCTCAATCGCGTCTCAATTTATGCGGTGTGCTAAAAAAAAAATTTGATAGAAATAAATAGAGAAGAATAAAATACTTTTCAAACTAGTTGACTAAAATAAGTTGCTGGTGTTTGTATGGTTATTAACCATTGAGAAAAACGCCTGATATAAATTTAAATTTGATCGTTTAGAACTGATATATGTTTGCTATGAAAATGACTTATATATATTACTATTATTATACCAACGACTCACACAAATAACACTTTAATACATTTGACCAACTTTAATTTAAGATCATAAAATTAAAATATTTTTTTTTTATTTTCATAAATTTCATAACATATCAAACTATTTTACTCTTTTTTAAACGGATGAAGTAAAAGATTACTCACCATTTTTCTGAATTTTTCACTTCAAACCAATAAGTCGACTAGTATTCTTTCCAAACTCAAAACGAGTTTCACAATTCAATTGTGTTTCACGTGATCCTTTAATTTAATACCACTAATATATAGTGGGGTAATACTGTCTATATATAAAACTATACTACGCAGCAATAAATTGTCAAGAACTCAAAGTTGAAGCATTTTTTTTTCTTCAAATAATTATTTCAGCCATGCAGAACTTTTATAATTCAAATTGCTCTTGTTACTACCTAGCTATCATCTTTATATTTTTCCTCATAATTTTATTGAAACATTTGATTCATCCAAAAAAAAATTACCACCTAGTCCTTTGTCTCTTCCAATAATAGGTCATCTTTACCTTATCAAAAATTCACTTCACCAAACATTAAACTCTTTATCAACTAAGTATGGTCCGGTTATATACCTCCGTTTCGGGTGTCGAAATTTATTGATTGTGTCCTCTCGATCCTCAGTAGAAGAATGTTTCACGAAAAACGATGTTGTATTTGCAAACCGGCCACGTAGCATGCTAGGTGACCGTGTTTCTTTTAATTATACTTCTCTTTTTTTGGCACCGTACGGTCAACTCTGGAGAGTTCTGCGCCGTCAAACAACGATTGAACTCTTCTCTACGAACAGTCTTCAAAAATCTTCTTTAATTCGAAATGAAGAAATTGAAATTTTGATTCGCTCTTTGTTTAAAGCTAGTGAAAAGAATACACGTGGTACTAGGGTTGACTTGAATTGTTGGGCTTTTACTTTTGTGTTTAATATTATGATGAGAATTGGTACTGGAAAAAGTTGTGTGAGTGAGGAAGATATAGGAATGGAAAAGGGGAAAAAGATAATTGAAGAGATGAGGGGTGTTTTCTTTGCTAATTTGTTGGTTTTAAACGTTTGTGATTTTTTGCCAATTTTGAAATGGTTTGGGTACAAAGGGATTGAGAAAAAAATTGATTTAATGAGTATGAAGAGAAATAAATTTTTAAACAAATTACTTGACGAATTTCGACAAAAAAAATTTAGTAGTGATAGTGAACATGAAGCTAAGGAGAAGAAGGCAACGCTAGTCGAAACTTTATTGTCTCTCCAAGAATTTGAACCTGAATTCTACACGGACGATCTCATTAAAAGTCTTCTAGTGGTACGTACATATGTTCCCTCAAACTATCGCATAAAGTTGGTAGTATTAGATGTGCTTGATTTGCTTTAACAATTACTATACCTACTATTCAATATATATATATATATATATATATATATATATATATATATATATATA